AAAAATAAACTCATCATCTGTGTTGAAAATGGCAACAAAACCACCGCAAGGTAAAAGTTGTTATTTTTTCAGGTTTATTATGTCTTGGTGGACTTTGTTTGAGATTTAATGAATTATATTCTAACAGCTTTAATAATCAGCATTAACAGTCCGTATCCTAGAGCATACATCGCCCATATAAAGGTATAAAACAGGGATAATCACACTCAGATATACACATGTTTTTGGTTGTTCAAAACATGTGAATAACTATTCTTATTTTCACTTTTTTAAAACTTTTTGCACAAAACAGAAAACAAAGTAGAGAATTAATTTAGAAAATGTTTAAAAGTTGGCACATAAATTATTTTAAAGAGGGGAAAAGGTTAAAGTTCTACATTAAATGGGCCAATGTGTAAAGGTCATATTTAGAAAATGGTGTATTTTAGCCTATAAAATAAAAAATCTATATTAATACACGTAAAACAATATGAATGAATCACAGCTGTAACTTTGTTGTCTTCAGGTTTTGAACTGATGGGCAGCGTCTCCAACTACTTCACTGACTTTGAGGACAAATCACAAGTGATGGAGTGGAGAAATCTGGTTTATCTCACTGCCAAGAGATACATCGGTGAGTGAGTGCCACTGCGTACCACGTGATCACGATCAATAAATCTGAATCTGTTCCTGACTGTTGTGTCAGTGATTTATATTTCTGTAGATTTTTGATTGCAGAGAATTTACCGTTTGTATTTTCCAGTTAAACAGAATAAATATCTGGATAATTTCAGCTTGTTTTTAGGGGTTATTCCTATTAGGGACATTCATTCACACCAACATCTCAGAGCCAAACAAACCACAGAGAGAACAGTTGTTTGCTGATATATTAATGTTCTTAACCTTTAAATGTGGCAAATGTAACATAACTTGTAACAACACGTAGTCCTGTTTTGTTCATTATTGATTGTAACCTGCAGATAAATACGGCCTGGGAAGTGTTTCTCAGTGGAACTTTGAGACCTGGAATGAGCCCAACAACCACGACTTTGACAACGTCTCCGTGTCAATTCAAGGTAATCCCACAATGCATCCTGCCTGCTTGATTATTCTGCCAATTATTTTACAGATTAATCTTTTGGTCTTTAAAATGTCAGTCCCAAATATTCAGTTTAATATCATATAAAACACAGAAAAGCTAGCAATCTAAATATTTGAGAGGCTGACAAGAGCATTTTCTGATCTTTTTGCATGAAAAATTTCTTTACCGATTCATTTTTCCGTTGTTCGACTCATCGTTGCTGCTCTAAACAGCTGGTTTAATATCTTTCCACACCGGAAAATAAAAAAATAAAAACTAAACCTGTGGAGTGGATATCGCCAGAGATTTCAGTGTAATAAACTTCTCTTCAGGGTTTCTGAATTACTACGATGCCTGTTCGGAGGGTCTGCGCGCTGCCAGCAGTCTCCTGAGGTTTGGGGGTCCGGGAGACTCGTGTCATTCTCCCCCCCACTCACCGTACTGCTGGGCCATGCTGCAGCACTGCTACAACGGCACCAACTACTTCACCGGAGAGACCGGGGTCAGGATCGACTACATCGCCCTGCACAAGAAGGTGGGATTCTCTGGACCACACCTGGGTCATTTTTAAGTGGTTCAAGACCACTAAAAACACGGAATAAAGCAGTTCCACCTTAAAAACCACTGGTTTCCCCGCACTGTTGGGCAGACAAAGGACGTCCCGGAATAAATATCAATATTCTAATTACTGATATTGATCTTTAAAAGCTTTATCAAACTGACTGTAACATCAGGTCGGATTCATTGTTGTGGAGATTGTTTCTCTACAGGGTCCAGTTGATTTCTTCATTTTCAAACAAACACAAAACTATATTTTATTTATTTATCTGAATTAATTGCAAAACCGATGTAATTTTGAAGCCCTCCTGTTTCTGTCCTGTAGGGGGGAGGCTACTCGTTGCCCATCCTCCAGCAGGAGGTCCAGACGGTGGGGGAGATCCAGGAGCGGTTCCCCCGGTTCCGCAGCCTCCCGGTGTTCAACGATGAGGCCGATCCGCTGGTGGGCTGGTCCAGGCCTCAGGAGTGGAGGGCGGATGTGACCTACGCTGCCATGGTGGTGAAGGTGAAGACTGACATCTGTATTAAAGTCCAGTGTATTGATTCAGATTTATTAATGCATATCTTAGTTTGTCCCAATCCTCTGTCCCAACAGGTCATAAACCAGCACCAGAACCTGCTGCTGGCCGACCCGAACAGCACCATCAACTACACCCTGCTGAGCAACGACAACGCCTTCCTCAGCTACCACCCTCACCCGTTCACCCAGCGCACCCTGACCGCCCGCTTCCAGGTCAACAACACCCAGCCGCCTCACGTGCAGCTCATCAGGAAGCCCGTCCTCACCGTCATGGGCCTGCTGGCTTTACTGGGTGAGTCTCTTTACAGCCGGTTTCATTTCTGTTGGTCTGTCCCAGTCCTGGTTTAAAGGTCCCCTCCTCCTCCTGTGTGTGTGTGTGTGTGTGTGTGTGTGTGTGTGTCCACAGTTG